GTTTTAGTCCTAGGTCCATGATCCACCTTGAGTTGATTTTTGTGTATGGAGTGAGGTGTGGATCTTGCTTGAGTTTTCTGGAGATAGTTTTCAAATTTTGCCAACACCATTTAGCAATAAAACAAGAGAAGGAAATAAGAGATATCCAAATTGGCAAAGAGGAGGTAAAATTCTCTTTCTATGCAGATGATATGATAGTATACTTACAGAACCCTAAAGACTTTATTGCTCTATTGAACATGGTTGACCAATTCAGCAAAGTGGCAGGATACAAGATCAACATACAAAACCCAATTGGATTTCTTTACAGTGACAAAGAGAATACAGAGCTGGAGCTATGAAAAACAATACCCTTCACAATAGCTAATCACAAGATTAAATACTTGGGAGTAAATCTAACCAGAAGCACAAAGGATCTAGTCAAAGAAAATTACAAATCATTACTCCAAGAAACAAAAAGAGACCTGAAGAAGTGGAAGTATATCTCATGCTCATGGATAGGAAGACTCAATATTTTGAAAATGGCAACACTACCAAAGGCAATTTACACGTTCAATATAATCCCAATACAAATACCAATCCCATTCTTCAATTAGATGGAAAAGTCAATCTCCAGTTTCATTTGGAATGCAAAGAAGCCCTGAATAAGCAAAGCACTTCTTAAAAATAGATGAAAGATAGGAGGCATCTCACTTCATGATTTCAAATGCTACTACACTCTTGTGGTGGTCAAGACAGCGTGGTACTGGTACAATGACAGACACATGGATCAATGGAATAGAATTGAGAACCTGGAAATCAGCCCATCTACCTATAGTCAACTGATTTTTGACAAGGAGATGAAATCTTTTAAGTGAGGAAACAACAGCCTTTTAAACAAGTAGTTCTTTTCTTCATGTTGTTATTGACTAGTTACCAGGTTAAAACTTCTATCTATAAGGTGAACCACTCACTCTACTTTAAGTCCTTTCTGGGAATATTTGTCTTTCTTGAAGTCTTTGAAATTCTCTTTATTCTGTGCTGTAGCCCTGCAGGTATCCTGCCTTCGTGTAGACCCTTGTCCCAAAATCTATTGTCCTCCTTCATGTATGAAGTTACTGAGTGGTGTGACAACAGGTCGCTCCACTCCAGCAGTCTCTGATTCACCATCTCTTCTCTAGCTTAATGTCTTCCTTTGCTCTGGAGTGGCATGAGATCAGTGTCAACAACTAAAGTGTCTTGTGTGCAGGAGAGTTTCAAGTCAGCCCTCTCTCTTGCAGAAAGATGAGAAAGTCATTCCTTAGCTTGTATGTCTGTGTCTTAAACTTTCTTGTCCTGTTTGTCCTCTGTAATGGCCTTGGAGCTGCAGAGGCAAGGATCTCCAAATGGAGGGACCTATCCCCAGGGAAGCCTCCGTCTTAAATTCCCACAAGCTCTGGGAAATGCTTACTCTGGGTGCAGTGGATCGCCTGATGCACCTTGCCCCCGCCCCCCCCGAACCTTAATATGTTCCTTTGTCTCTGGAGTTGCACAAAATTAGGGCCACCATCTCAAGCAGCCTGTGTACTGGGGGGGGGGGTGTCTCAAGTCAGCCCTTCCTTCCACAGAAATCTGAGAAAGTCTTTCCTCTGCTTATAGATCTGTGTCCCTAACTCTCTTAACAGGTTTGGCCCCTACAATGGCCCCATGGTAACAGAGGCAAGGATCCCCAAATGGAGACATCTATGCTCCAAAAATACATTTTTTACTCAAATTTCTACGCAAAGAGGAAGGTTTCTATTTCTGTGGCCTTGGTGCTCCTGATGCAGGACAGCAGAGTGGCAGCAGGGCAGTCTCTGCACAGAAGAAAAATCTGGTCTCCACATGGTGGGGCAGTCTAGTCCCTCTGCTTTTTCTATTGGGTTAAAAAGGATTTGGGGTTTTTTTTTCCTCTTCTTCTTTGTATCAACAATGAGTAATCATCTTTACTGTACATCTCATACCCCATATTTACAAAATTCCATATTTCTATGACCCTGGAGTCATTTCAATGAATCCCACTCCTGATACCAACTGTAAAAAGAGCAATAAGAACATAGAGATTACTGAATCTGGCCTCTGCTAACTCCATAAAGTGGAACTTCCCCCATTAATACCATCTACAGGGTTGTGGGAGGATATCAAGGGTATCATCCAGGAAGAGTGCAAACGGTCATTTCAAAGACAGAAGAGGAAGAAAAGACTAAAATGGATGTCAGAAGAGACTCTGAAAATTGCACTGGAGCGCAGAGAAGCCAAAGCACAGGGAAGAATTCAATATA